TTGGGGGTTGGTTTTGTTTCTTTTTAGTTTGGCTTCAAGTAACAACAGGTAACACTTTAGAACTATTAAGATCATAAACTGACATTTTAGAAATAAATTTTATTAGTCAAGTATCAAAAGTGTAGGGTCTTGGCCTGGAAACTTTTTAGGCCACACAAGCAACCTTTCTCACAGGAGTAATCAGTAGGACTACTCATGCAAACCAAATTATTCACATGGTAAATGTCTGCAGAATCAGACTCCAAATTAGCATTTTAGGGGCATACTGTTGCCTCAATGGATTATTCACAGATACAGAAAAAAAAAATGTGGGTAGTTTTCAAACAATTGCTGTAAACTCTTCCTATCCTGACATGTTTTTTCCATGTTTAGCATAGTTTTAGAATGATAACAGCTGGAATCCCAACTACTAGACCCAAAAAAATATTAGGAAAGATTATGACAAAAACATTCCTGTCAGCCAAAAAAAATTTTTTTTTTAAATGAAAAGGTAACTGCTCTTCTTTTTAAACAAGAGTATAGTCAGCCCTCAAAATCTGACTACACTGTATTTCTGGAGTACAAAGAACTGTACAGAAATTTTAGATTTAAGTAGCTTATAACAGAAGTGGTACAGTCTACAGCAGCTGTCTTCAACCAAGTTTTATACTTCCCTCCAGATGGCAATGACTTGTAAAAACACTGGGATATTTTGAGCAGTATCGGCAACACCACAGAAGGAGGTGGCCTTGGGGATAACAACGGCCTACATTTATTAAAAATAATTTTTAAAGCTATGTCTAATAGTTTTCAGAAAGTGGAGATGTACAGTTTATCTTGCTATCTTAAGAGACTATTTCAAACTATTATAAACATCACACCCAAGACGACAGTTTTATGAAGAAAGAAGAAACAAGTGTTTAATTCCACATTCTCATAAGGAATCGTTTCAAAAAGTTTTGTCTCCCATAATAAGTAGTGGTCTCTGGAAATCCATAAATGTTGTCAAAATCCTCCATACCTAGATCCTTTTTGTTTCCCTGACATGAAGCAGATATATATATATACACATACCCAACACTGATACATCACTGTGGCCTATGTCAGAGGCTCACGCAACATAACAGGTCATATCCCAATCCCTTCCCTGTGGGAACTGCCATGTACTGAACATCCACATGCTCTTTAGAGGCCCTGCTCAGGTACATGGGCTCATACAAGTAACTAGTTAACATAGAAACTCTTGCAGATGTTAAATACAGGACAGTCAAGATCATAATTAATCCAAGAGTTTTTGGTACTGCTTTGGGATGTATTCAAAGGTATAAGCTGTCCCAACTGAACTTCAACACCTACAGCCCATTTTTCTATCAAAGAGGGTTGGTTATTTCAGCAGACAGAGCATCTACACAACACAACAGACCATGTGATTCTTCCATTCAAGATACAGGCAATGAGAAAGCCATATTCGTGGCAGACTCACTGGTTCAGGCAGTATTGCACCAAACTGGTTTGCACTGGAGCCTTAAGATTTCAGCCCTTAAAGCACTTCAGGACTGCAGGAGACTGGGACTAAGTAAACAGTGCAGTGTATACCCATTTATTTGACTGAAGACTTCTCACAGAAGTATCCAACTAAAAGGCTTACAGGAAAATCACCTTAGCCAGGGTTTCTCCAGCTACTAAGTTCCCACAGACCTATAACTTACTAAGTTGCTAGTTTCCACCTTATTTTCCCTCCCAGTTCTTACGTAGCATGCATATTTATACAATCATTAATTGCAAACTGAACATTTTTACTTTAACACAGGGCTGCTGTAATAAGAATCAGTTGTTACAGCAGTATTTATTGTACCTTTCAGTTCCATTGCACTTCTACAATTACTCTGGTATGACACAAATTCCCATTGTGAAGCATATTAGGTCTAAATAGCTTTGTGTACATACTACCACATCTACCTTGTATACTAGAGATTTGTTACTGTTTTGGCAAACTACAGGAGAAACCATCTGAGAGAGGTATATACACAGATTTAATCAAATCATATTCCTAAGCAGTTCCTCTCTTCTGAAGAGAAGGTTGAGAGTTTCTTCTCTCTGAGATTAATTTTGCAAAGTGCTTCAAGTCTTCCCTTTCATTAGAGAGAGCTGAGGATATTCAGCGTTTTGGATTCCAAGTTCTAAAAAGGAGTATACAACAAGTAACTCACTGACGAACCAAACAGTTCCCTGGAAATCAGAGTAATTGGTCTAAAAAAAAAAAATTGTAACTGAAATTCCAGTTAAAAGGGAAAAAAACACCAAAAACCAAAAAAACCACCACTTCGGTTAGAGAGATGGGTATTTTTTTCCCCAAAGGGCCACTACAGTGAAAGTCTGTTTTCACATTAAAGAAAGTACTGAAGTACGGGAAATATATTTTAAAATTCAGTTTGTACACTAGCACAGGATATTTCAACATAAGAAATATTAAACGTAAACAATCTGATAAACCAAATTGAGTTCATTTAAATTGTAGTAAGGTTCTCTTACACCTTCCGCTGGCATGCTAAAAGGTCTGTGTCAGGTATTCTTTGACAGCAGTTTGGCACTTTACATTTAGAGTGAAAACGTGACACCCTACACTTACACATTGAAAAAAAAAATAAAAAGCTTTAAAGTGCTTGCTATTTAATGTATAAAAGAAAATACTTGAAGGAAGTGCTCACAGGTTTCCTGAGAAATCATTTTGGATTTCAGAATCCCAAGGAGATGAATTGGCTGTCAGATAACAATGCGCCTTCATCAGATGGACTTGGCAGTTGTAAACAAGAAGAATTTTCTCAGCTTTTCCTCACAAATATGAAATATTTGCTCTTAGCCAACAGCTGGGGCGGTTTAAAGACATCCTGCATATATATTCAAATTACAAGTCACCCACACACCTAACACTGACTGAATTCCAGCAAATTAAAGAAACTGACAAGTGTTGGAGCAGATACAAAATAATTCTGAAGACAAAACACAATCTGACTTCATAGGTCTAAATAACTAAATTTTCAAATGTCAGTTTGCCTGCTGAATAGTGAAGAAAAATAACTCACAAAAGTAGCCGTAATTTCTCTTCAGAACTAGTGTCTTACGTAAATGGAAAATATCTACCGCTGTCCAGTTATCACAGAAAAACCAAAGAAAAAAACCAGAAAATGTAACGGCAAAATACAAGTACATCAGACAAATCAGTTTTACTACTGAAGTTCATTTTTCTCTAGTATTACAATTCTATAGTTCAAAAATATTACCAGTAAGTGCCTTGAAAGTATGACAAGTTTAAAAGTTTTTCGAAATTTGTTAATAAGTCAGATAGCAAGATCTTACTTCGATATAATCAAGAAATAAGGCTGACTATAAACTGTTTTAAGACTTTGCAAGCATTTGGTATCTCAGTGTCAAACCAGATTCACAGTGAAAGCACGAGTCTTCTAATGTTTATTAATGTTTCATGTACATGTACTTACTTTTGCAATATGAACTAAACGGTTGTTTATTTTTTTTATCTAGACCTTATAAACCAAATTTAGGTATGTGTATATATTATTCCAATATATACCTCAGCAGGAGAAGCTGTACTAAATCCCTATGCTTTGTACAAAGTTTAAAACACATTGTAAAAAGCATTGCATTAAGTGTTTTAATACGACTTAGAAATGCATAGTCAGGTTTTTTTTGAAGAGCAATCGATCTCATTAAAATTTATTTAAAAAAAGTTGTACTATATAATAACATTTCCATTTTTAGGTCAAAAAGTTACTTTGGTTTATTTGAAAAAATGAGGTAATTATCTCAAATACATAATATTTCAACTATTATAGAAGTATCATAATTACACTGGTGGTTACTAAGTCTCTTGAATAACTTTGTGAAAATGACCAACCAAACCATAATGGTTTGTGGGGGTTTTTGTTTTAAACACACAGCAGCTGTGGATACAAAGCAACTTTAATAAGACAAACCATGTTCAGGCCAGCGCTGCTTTTCAATGGATTAAAGTAGAAATACTTTTATGAAGTTAAAGCAGCAGCATATGAAAAACTAAACAAGAGCTCAGAGGCATTCTTAAAAAAAAGGTGATATAATGAAAATGCAGCAACTAAGATGCCTAAGAATGAAGGCACCACTCTGAAGTTCTACATGAACATACATTAATACAGTGACATTCCTGGACTTTCCTGACTCCAAACTGAAACTACGTCCAACAATCAGCATCTTGCCTTTAACAAGTCAAGTGTCCCAAGTTGTACAATACATTTTAAAAAACATTTGCATTTGAAGTGCAACAAAATAAGAAGGCACATACTGAAAATTAAGCAGCTATTATAAAAAGCTAAACTAGTTTGGGAACTACTCATTTTCTAGGTCTCACTGCAACCAAGCAGGTGTTTGTACTTCAGCTTCATCACACAAGATCCCCTCATCTCTGCTCCATCTTCTCTCCCCGCAGTACTCAATCTTTTTTTTTTAATCCAAATTCAAATAATTTTTGAAAGCTAAATTTTTCTAAGCCTTTGTAAAAGCTTTAATCATATAAAAACTGGAGTAGAATTCAATTACTGCTTTCATACTACATAACAAGACAATATTTTATAACCAGTAATTACGTCCAACAAGACATTGTATGAAACATCTAACATCTCCAAGACTAGCACCTAACACAGTATGTCCAAGCAGGCTTTTTTGGTGTATTTATGTTTTAAAAAGTCCTTGTGCATTCAAGATTCAGGTGACAATATCTGATCGTATTCAAACTATTTCTTACAGGACAATTGCAGTTTACACTTCAAATCTGGACTGTTCATGAATGCTCCCCTCCCAGCCGAGTCCCATACGTACTGCTTGAGAATTTCTTATTTCTCTTCTGTCTCAATAAGGCTAGAAGTCCCAAGTTTATAAACAAAAACTTAAAGTCTGAAGCCTGAGTACCTCAACACACAACTAATTTGACCAAAGAAAAAGTTAACACTTTTAGAACAAAAAATACTTACAGCCTCTCCAGCTCTTTTAAATCCTGGAATGCTCCTCTCTCAATAGTACTAATCTTGTTTTCCATGAGCTGACTGAAATACAGAAATTTTTATATATAAGTTTTAATATCTCTGAGATAAGTTGTTGTGTTAACAGTGGTCATTTAGAGGCAACCACATATTCATTAAAACAATACAACAGCTATCCTAGAGCAACATCCACTTTAACCTTCCGGACTCCTGTCATCAACAGTTTACATGGGCTCATATACCTAAAAGAAGGAACATAATCTTTGGTAAAAGAAACAGGAATTGATATGACATTCACTCATTTAGTTTAAGAGTCCCAAGTTAAAAAACTACACATATGCTTGCACACACATCACTGCTCTTCGGCAAGCTACAAGACTCCAGTCGAACAGTATGAAGGGGATATTAGTCTCACATGAGAATAACAAAACTAAAATATTGAATCTTGGTGTTGGGAGAAACATCAGTGAAAGACTGTACAGAGACTGTACAATAGCTCTGTTTTGTAACAAAATCCAAAATTACTACAGTGTTATATTCTATTTCAGAGAGAAATATAAAAAGGATTTTATAAGACTGTTTGCTCAAATTAAACCAGCCTTATCAAATAAGTAGCTAGATTTTGTCCTCAGAAAAAAAGAAAAGCCTACAAAATTTTAAAACCTTCAGAGTGCTTGAAACAAAACTGTTTAAAACAAACAAAAACCCACCCAAACAAAACAACCAAATAATTCCTTTCTCAAATCCACTATTAAAGTGTTTGTTTTTTGTCCAGAAACTGCAGAAAAACAATCATCGATTGGGATTTCCCTTTATGTTCAGTAAAGGAATAACTTTTTTCTTAATAAATTCCCCTATAGTTCAGGTTGAGAGCACCCATTTTCAGTGTAAACTGTAAGTTTCATAACCTTGAACTGAATTAACTCCAACCACTTTTAGCAGGTCTTACTTGTAATTCACATCAAATTAAATCCTCGAGTTCTCATAACCTCAAGGAGATATTAAAAAAATTTAGGCAAATTATATTTAAAGCAATTGCTAACTTATGCATAAGTATATAACGCATGGCAAAGGGGTTTTAAGTCCAGATGCAGTAGCACAAGAGTTAAAAACTAATAATCCATCCATCTAATGAACTGAAAAGTAACTACAAACTCTAGCACCAGTCCTATAAGATATCAATAATAGAAAGAGAAAACTTACAGAACTCGAAGATGCCTGAGACCAGCAAAGTCGGTCTTCGTGATTCTTGTGATGTTATTTCCATTAAGATCCCTAAGGAGAATAATTTATAAGCAGCAAAATTAAAACATTCAAAAGCTACTCTTAAATTGTTTTGTTTGTTTTCACAGGCACAGCATTTTCAGAAGTTAGGAGACGCAAATGAACACAACAAACCATTCCTACAACTAACACCACGTGAGTTCCTGATTTCCAAGCAACTGAACCAAGGTTTTGAATCTTGAAAGCAGTAGTTTGAAACTTTGTAACAAGAGACTCTTAAAAAGTCAATTCTGCCTCCAATTATAAAGCTCATATTTAACTTTAACAACAATCTTTAACAATAGAAGAGTCAAAACTCTCGGAAGATGGTTATAACTGCATTTAGAAAACCACTAAACCTACTACATATATATATGCTACAGTATTTATTTGGCTGTTACAAAATTAAGTGACTGAAACAAAGACAATTTTAATTTTTGAGCCACTTTCAGATTTCCTAGTATGGCTACAAATGTGGAATAGAGCTTAATTTCCTATAACAAACATTAGGTTTCAAACAAGCATAACACTGTTGGAGTAAATGACAGAAAATATGATTTTACCAAAACTTATCTCTTCACTTGCTGCACAGGAAGCTATACTGACTGCCCAATGAGAAGCATGTTCAGAAGCAATGGAAACCTGCATTTAGGCCCTAGCATTTCTGGTCATACTTCTAAACTACTTTTTCCTCTGGAGTGTATGCCTGTTTTTCATAACCTTTTGGGTTCAAGATATAAAATTCTCCCAGTTCCAATCACTACAAATAAAACCAGACTTGGCAATTCCTGAGGTAAGCCATTAGGAAGTGGTATTACATGGAAGCTACTCTAACAATTACAGCTCATTCCCAACGCAGTCAGGAAAACAAAAATGTATTTTTTTAGTGTTTTATACCACATGTGGCCAAAACACCACTGCAAAGAAACCACACAAGTCTCAGGAGAAATGTGTCCCTGATATTCTTCCTGAGTGAAATCCACCACTCCAGACGTGCGTTCATATGCCAACACTTAAATGACTTATTAGAGAGCAAGAAATAATGCGCTCACCTCTTCCACTCTCTAAGACCTCTGAAGGGCAGCCTGATATAATAAATAACCGACCACATGTAGAAAACACCCCTAGCCGCGGAGTGCGCGACAGCAGGGGAGGGATCACCGCTGTGGCACGACTTAGTGCCCTGCGAGTGCGAAGGCGGCTACCGCACCCCAGCGCGCCCTCGCCCGCCGGCAGATGCCGAGCCCCGCGAGCTCCCGCGTCACGCCGGGGCAGCGGCGGCAGCGCGTCCCCGCCCGCCCCTCCGTGCGGGAGGGAGCGCTGCGCGCCCGGGGCCTGACCGCCCGCGCCCACGGAGCCGGGCCCGGCTCTGCCTCGGGGAAGGCGAGCCGTAACAGCCAACTTTGCCGGGAAATGGGCGCCGGCGGGGGGAGAGGCCGCTCCGCCACCGCCTTGGGGCGCCTCCCGGGCCGCGGCGGTGCCCGCCCCGCCGCCCCCGCTCCCCGCGGAGGAGGGAACCGCGCTCCTCACGGCGGCTTCCCGGGATGGAAGGCAGCGGCTGGCAGCAGCGCACACCTCTCTCGCGTCTCCGCGCATCGCCGTGAAGCGGGCACGGCCAGCGGCAGGAGTAGGGAACAGAACCCCCCCCACCCAAAGAGCGTCGGGACCCCAAACCCGGCCGGCGCCGGGGTCCACCTCAGTCCGCCAGCCGGCAGGAGCCCGGAGGGGAGCCGGAGGCTGAGGAGCGGTCGCCGCCGCCCCGGCCGGGTTACTTACAGCCTCTCGGTGTTGCGCGGGATGTTCCTCGGGACGCCGCGTAGCGCCAGCCCGTGACAATCCACGGTGCTCCCCGAGCAGGAGCACTGCGCCGGGCACGGCTGCGGCGCCACTGCGCCCGCCATCGCCAGCAGCAGCCCCAGGGACAGGGTGAGCTTCCCCCAGCCGCACATCATCACCGCCCGGGCCCACCGGCCTCGGCCCCGGGGAGGCGCGGGGCGCGCCGCCCTCCTCCTCGCCGCGGGGAGCGCTCCGGCAACTTTTAGGGTGCGGAGACAGCGAAGTCCGTTCTATCCAAAGCCAAGTCAAGAAAACAACCCCGACGAAGTGAGGCGGGTGGCACCGCTCCGCGGCTGAATGCAACTTCGCTGGGCGCGGGGCCGGGCCCGGGCCGTCCCTTGCTAAGCCCGTCGGTGGCGGGGAGAGGCGGCACTTGGGATCTCGTCTTCACACACTCCCTGCGATGGCGAAGCAAACCCACAAGGCTTAGGGTGCGGCGGAGTTGGGCGAGCTACTTATCTTCCTCCTCGCCCCTTCCAAAGCCGTGACGCCCCGCTGAGCCCCCGGCGAGAGGCCGCGGAGCTCAGTCCGCCCCAGCGGCGCTCCCTGCGCGGCGGCCCGCGCAGCGCTGCAGCCGCTCCCACGCGCGTTCCCCGCCGCGGGCCGCTCACAGCCCCACGGGGGGCGGCGGCGGGGCTGACACCGCGCACACACCGCCCTGCCAGAGGCGCCTTAGCAAATCATACCCCTCTCGCAAGCATTCATCAAACTGTCTCAAGGAAGGAGGAGGGAAAGGGGGGAAGAAAAAAAAAAATCAGTCAAACACACAAGATGCTGTTGGGCTTGGCTCTCCACCCCCCGCGCCCCCTCCTGCTGTACGCTCCCAGGCCAAGTTTAGCAGGAAAGGGCTGGTCCTAGAACACGATAATAATAAGCAGCCGAGAAGTGATTCGTTGCCCTGCTGGAAGGGAGTTCATCCACGACCTTCTCCTCGGTGACAGATCACAGTTATAGATCCTCCTGTGATCCTGGGAGCACGGCGAGACAAAAATAACAAGCGATGTGCAGCGAGAGCGGGAGGGGCGGGGAGAGGGGGTGTTATTCTGCTCCCCGTGGTCTCCCGGATACCGTGGTTTTGCTGCGGCAAAGGCACCTGATGGGAAAGGTGGGAACTGCTCAGTCCTTCCACGTGAGGCCAGTTCAGCAGCTCCAGGGATTGCTGCAGTAAAGGGAGCAACTTTCCTCCTCTCCCGAAGCCCACCGAGGTTACAGCGCCTCGGGAAGGGTTGGCTCCCCTTCCCCTGCTCCCGCCGGTGCACCTGAGCTGTCGGTGCTGGTGCCGAACAGCCTGGCCCGACCCTCGGCTCCCCGGTGGCGGCGCTTCTCCGACGCGGAGGGAAGCGGCGGAGGGGGGCAGCGGGAGAACGGAGGCGACACGCCGGCTCCCTCCCTCGCACCCCGAATCTCTGCGCTTGAACAATGGGATAGCACCGCCGCTCGCAGGCCGGCCGGCTCTCCTTCCCGCCGCAAGGTGCCTGCCGCCGCCCGCCGAAAGTGCTCCCCGAGCGCGGCCGCCGGCCGAACGAGCCGCCGAGCGCTCCCCACGCGGCCGCACGGCGCCCCCGCCCGCCTCTCCCGGTACGGCGCCCCTCGCCCCGCTCCCACGGAGCCGGGAGCGCCCCACGCGCCACCCTATATAGGGCCGGCCTGGCCGCGCCCCCCCGGCCCCGCCCGCAGCGCCCCGCGCCGCGCTCACTGGCTGCGCCGCCGCCCGCCCCGGCCCGGCCCCGGCCCGGCCAACGCGGGGCGGGGGGTGCGCGGCGGCGCCGGCGGTGAATGAAAGTTGGGGGAGCGTGGCGGCGGCGGGGGAGGCAGGTCTCCCCATCCCGCCCGGGGAGCGCCGCGGAGCTCCCCTCCCCGCTGCCCTCTCCGCGCCCTTCTCCGCTCCTCTCTCCGCTCCCCTCTCCGCTCCCCGCCGCACGGAGCTCGGAGTTGCTGCGCGGAGTTTCTCACGCAGCCCCCGCCTGCGCGTGTCGAGCGCTCCGCGAGGAGAAGGAAGGGGAGGGAGCAGGGCTGGGGTCCGTCGTGATGCTCCAGTGTGTTTTACCTGGAGAGGGAGCGGGCTGAAACGCCCCCGGCTGCGCTTGGGAAATACCTCGGGCGTCTCACCGAGGGTCTTGACTGAGAGAGAGGATGAGGATTTTTGTGGCATGTTCTTCGATTGCAGTTTTACTGCAAAACCCACCAGAATCTCTCATACGTTATTTTCGAAAATAAAATAAAATGGGCAAGTGTTATTCCACACAGTAAAATATGTCGAGCAGCAACATTAACACTAATGTACTTGTTTAAAAAACACCTTCAATTTTTAAAAAAAATTCTAAATACATACAGTGTTTCTAATACATTTTCCCAGTGTGTTGTTTATTGTCAGTACGTCTTCAGCATTTTTTAGGAAATTACTAGGTTACATCTTAAGAACATTTGAATTGTTTTTGTTCTTCCTTGCTTGTGAATTCAGTTCCATGCGATTCATAACAGCTCTTGAGACCCCAGTAATAGGTGAAAGTGATTTGTCTTTCATTAGACGGCAAACCCCAGCAGGGATGACTAAGCCTTCAGCAAGGTGTAGCTTGGAAATGCTCAAGGGAGTCTATCGTTTCTTCCATATGGCTGGGTCCAGCTGAGTCTCTTAGTCCCTGGGGTCTCTGCTGCACAATCCCCGCAAGAGGCTTACTGTCTCTTTTTGCCCATTACCAAGAGGACAAATTCTGTTCTGAGAAATGCTATTCTAGAGCTGAGTTAATCTACTGAAGTGGAAGCCAACAAAGTTACTCCTGACTTCTCTTACTGTAGAATGTAAGCCCAAAGGAAAATTGCTAAAAAGGCACCTACAAAAGCTTTTTAGTTTTTGATCCATTTGTTTAGAAAACATTCAGTAAATAGGGTTGTTTCACTGTTTTCAAATGCTGATAATGGCATCTTGGGTCTTACAGAGACGCAAAGATACTCCAGTTTTTACACTGATGCAGAAAGGAGAATTCAGTGAATGTAGGGGGAATTCATCAGCTTCCCTGTATAAATGATTTTCACTCTTTTCTCCCATTTGCTTGTTTTAAGTCTTTACAAAGGATTTCAAAAGGATTTTTCAGGTTTCTAGCAAGCAACAGAAAAGAAAAAAACCCCCCTTAATCTAACATATTGCTTTTATGCGTCTGCTAAAATCCTTTATCATATAACTCCAGGCAGACAAAAACCAGAAAAAAAACAAATATTAACAAATATTAACCATTCAGTATTTTTCATTATTTGTTTCAGCAAGGTACCAGCAACGTGCTTAGTTCTGCAGAAGACACAAAAATAAGAAACAATAAATCTTTTTAATATAGTAATTCTCAGAAAATCTAAATCAATTCTTAGAGCACTAAATGTTGCTATACTTCTTCATGTAGAGCTGATTCAAAATCTAAACTAGTCTTAATTTAATATACTTTATTTCCAAAGAGAAGTATGCTAAATATAAGCAAGATCAATTTTTATTCCTATTTGGGGGGTTCATTGATTTTTAACATGCCCACTTTTGAAGCATACCTTTCATTCATTCAGATTGATTTTCTCGAGTATCTTGCCTGCCAGCATATCGAAACTGTTTGTGATCAAAACTCTCCAATGGGAGAGCTCCCAATGTCTGAATTTGTCTGACTATGAGGCCTCTCAGACACACTCTAGTATCATTGCTGGAATATGAACCTTGTCCCACAGAGCACCCCATGGCTGCAGAATCAACTGTAGGCCACTTCCAAAGTTATGAGGGAAAATATTCCCATAGAGGAAGAAGCTAGACAAAAATTTTAATACCAAGATATATTAAAAGAAAAACAATTGGAAACATTCATCAGTGGAAGAGCAAAAATTTAGTTACAGCCATTTTGGAAAAAACTGACATCAGCTAAAAGCAGTTTTCTCTGGATTTCTTTGTACAACATTCCACCCTTTGAAGGGTAATATAAAGGGATACTCAAAAAAGCTAAGGAGATCAGAACTATTAGCATAAGGAGATCAAAGTCAATAATAATAATAGGTAACATCTTCAAAACAGGATCCAGAACATCAAAAAAGCTGCTACTCCCAAATGAGGTTGGTAACAGTGACTATGGCTGAGCACAAAACTCTCTGCTGACACACATCTGATGTAGACACATCTGAGTGAGCTCAGTGAGCACCATCAGCTCTATGAGCATCACTATTGCTTTACAAGGACACTAGACCTAAAAGATACCGAACTAAATGACTCATCAATTTGTAAATAACTGAAGGTCAATAAGGTGATAGAAAAATGGCCAACAGAGGCATTATGAAGAAAAAAGAGTATAAACTAATCTGTTTTCCTTCTTTGACATGGTAACTAGCTTCTGGGTAAGGGGAAAATATGGTGATATTAGCAGGCCACTTAGCACCATGTATATTAACATTCTCCTAAGCAATCTACTTAAATATAATGAAAATCTAATTGTTGGAATGTGGGCACTAAACTGAGTAAAAAAAATCCAAACTCTATATTCAGAATGTGGCTGATGGTCAGTCTGGGAGTCTATAGAAAGTAAACTCTTTTAAAAAGCTGTTAAGACTATTATGCACTGAATGATTCCATTAGTGATTGAAAATTAAGTATAACTATTAACAGATGATACCAGAGTGGGAAGGGATGCAAGGAGATTGCAAAACAGAAGGACAATTCAAAATTATTTTGATAAACTGGAGAAAGCTCATTTAATTAGTAAATCTTAAGGAAGACATGAACATAACGTTTTCAGAAAAGAAATTAAAATACATAAGTGCAAAATAACTAGCTGGGCACCAGCACTCCCGAGAAGGATATGGAGGTGAAAATGTATCATCTTAAATTTATGAGAAAGGAGACTCCATTACAGAAAGGTGTACATTATTATGATGAGGTATATGTTGCATAAGGAAGGTAGGCGTTCTTAATTGCTTACTAATTACTAAAGCTTCGTATAAGCTTCTGTCAGCTTTGAGTAGGCTAAAGTGTTCAGTTTTGGATACCTTCCCTAAAGTATGATGTAAATAAACCAGAGAGACTCCAGGGAACAGAACGAAGAATATAAGTTTAAATAAACATGAACTATGAAAACAAGTTTGAAAAAAGTGCAGTTTCCTAGTTTAAAAACAAACAAGCAAACGAACAAGAAAAAACTCTCACCCCAAATAAACAGCTGAGGCAAAGAAAAGACATAATAATACTTTCTTTAATTTAAATGCTTCTGTAAGCAGCACAGTGCTCAGTTAATATTCACAGCCAGTAAAGGGCTTAAATTTCAGGAAGGAAGGTTTGTGAATCTGAAAAGCTGAGAGTAAAGAAGGCTCTGTAAACCAAAAGACAATAATGGTATCTTCTTCATTGCCCCAAAACCAAACTTCTACTGAAAATTTTTAAACAGATTAAACACATACTAGATAAGAATTATCCAGATGTACTGGATATTTCAGTGTCTGATTTGGTGCATTAAATAATTGTCTTTTCAGATTCCTTTCAGCTATGATTTTTCATGGGCATAAAAAAGTAGCAATATTAATAATTGTCAAAGAGGACATTTGGCTGTGTGTATTAATTACTTATTGTTTATTATCACATATTTATAATTCAGGATCATCTAGTGTTTCCAGTCAGAATTGTGCTTGGAAGTGAAGTGGTACAATAAAAATAGGTTCAGTACCTCCTGGCTTTTCCTTTTTGTGTAGTCATGATGTGTGAAAGGCAGAGGGAAAGTAATGTAATTTTTTAAAAACTGACAACTAGATCCTTTTCTCTATCAAGATATTTATTGGCTATTTACTTACACGCAGGATCACCCTCAAGGAAAAAAGGCAACGCAGAAAGAACCGTATATTGCAGATACACCATCTAAGGAGCCTTTCTGCTGTGCCTTTTGCAATCGGATATGTCTGTCACGTATTGGCCTCATAAGCCACCAACGTGCCTGTAGCAAATGTGGATAGAGCCTTCCCAAATCTTCGTTGCGTGAAGCCCAGCCATGACTTGTAAGCAAGTATAGACCATGTGGAACAAGCAATGCAGAGACAGTGCTAGCACTGAAGAACAGATGAGAAAAACTGTGCCATGATCAGTGCAAAAGTCATGAGGAGAACACAAAAAAAAATGTAAGAAAGAAAAAGGATACTGGAGAAAAATGAAAACATACAGTGAGAACAAAAAGCTTGAACGTGCAACAGAAGAATGGGTAAACCATGTATTTCATTGCTAAATAAACATGAGAAAAACCTACCCACTTCTTTCTAAGAATCTATTATCACAAACATTGTGTTGGTATTTCACAGTGGACTACAGCCTAAAGAGCAACTTGGACATTATAAGTGTATCTACACAACAGTTTAGCTCAAAGGAGATTTTATTTCATTGCTACCTGTCTTCTCTAATTGTTACTTAG